TATCTGTTGAATCAGAGGTAACATTTAAGGAGTGACTGTAGAGGCCTTCTTGTTAAATTTTAATAGGTAATGTTAAATCTCGTTAACTTCTTTCGGTGGTTAAACTAAACTTCTTGATATATTCTAAACAGGCAGCTTGTACGTTCTTCCAAATTTCTAAACATGCAGCTTGTACGTTCTTCCAAATTTCATCTAGATACAACTTCTATTGAACCATTTATATAGTTTCTATTGAACCATCTATATAACTTCTATAGGACCATCTATATACAGCCAGGCTACAAGGAAAAAGGTAAAAATATCAAGAAGGGATTAGAAAGAGTATATAGGAAACAGATAATGCTTTTTACTATTAAATGAACATTTAAACTAATATTTGAATAGTTTCACAGAGGCTAAAATTAATATGAAAAGGAAAAAATCTTATTTATCATATTTAAATATAGTAAAGCATATTATCTCTTTCCTAACAAAATAATATATAAAATTATATAAAACATGTGATTTCTTGTGTTTTTCATGTTGTTGAGGTTGTTTCAATACTTGACATTTTAATTAGAAATTCTTGTACTAAATATATATTTTCAACAAAATATCGGTAGGAAACTTACCTTTTTAAAATCAGACGGTCATTAAAAATATTAAAGATAATTAGTACATAGGATGTCCAAGATAAAAGATAATTAAAATTCAATAATCAACTTGCTTGTCGACAGAGATAAAATGAAATGACAATCCAAGTTTTGACACAAGGCATAAACGACAAATGACATTTGTGTAGAGATGTTGGTTTCAAAATAACGAAAACGGTTCCGACCGTTATAATGTCTGGGTCAAATAACGAAAACAGTTCCAACCGTTACAAATTAACAGTGCTGTTCCTAAAGTGGCGCTGGGAAACAGTAACAAAGCCTACACAGAACACGAGGCGAAATAACCTTAGCAGTTGAAGCGGATAACACACACAAAAAAAATATTAATTTTGTATTAAAATATATGCCACCTGGCTACAGCGGAAAATCTAAAAAACGAGTGAACCCCTGAAGGCATTTGACCTACAGGTGAGAGAAAACCAGAAAATCCCACCCGTTATGATCGACACGACATTAATCGAATAATAGCTCTTTTAGCGGAGCCGATCCCGAACGTATTCTGAAAGCTAAGGTAGGGTCCGATTACAATTAGAAGAAAAGAAGAAGTTATTCATTGGTATATCCACTTTCCAAAATTAATTTTCCACCTTTTTAACCTGATCAATGCATTTTCTCCAATGTTCTCCGTTTACATCTGAAACTGCCTTCAATAAATTTCACACATCAGGTAATTTAAATGTTGTATTGTTTCAAAAAAATATAACCTTTTAATTGTGACCAGATCACTTCAATGGGATTTAACTCGGCGTGGTAAGGAGACAATCTGAGAATCCTTTTTTTCGGGCCATCTCGTCTATAATATATTTTTTGAATTTGTTTTTATATTGCCTTGCCATTACGAGTAATTCTGCCTTTACGGATTTAGGACTGATAATATTTTTAGAATGAAGCCATTTTGAAATATCTTCTTTTTTTTCATCTTGTTGTAGGTAGTGATTCTTTTAATCGACGACTGTGATAGGATGCATTATCCAAAACAATAACGGAGTTTACTTTTTTATAACGTTCTGAAAATAATTTTTTAATATAGGGCCATTCATTTCTTCATGGTAGTCTTTTTTCTTGGACTCTAACATTAATAAACCATTTGGCAAATATCCATTGCTGCTTCCAATGTGGGTTATTATTAAACGATTTACTTTTCCTGTTGGATTTTTTAATTCACAGAGACCCTTTCCATAAAGACTTGTTTTTTAGTTTTGATGCAGGTTTCTTGCCAAATTTTTGTTACTGTATGCCCAGCGTTAACGCATGTTTCATCTAAATAAAATACTTGTTTATGCTGATTTCTTTCGTCCGCTATTTTCTTTAAATAATCATGTCCCCACGCAATGATTTCGTCTTTCTCTGTTAAAAAGCTGTTTCTGTCACGTTTTTGTAACGAAAATTTAATTCATGTAATATTTTTTGCAGATTAAAATATGATATATTTTCAATTTCTGAATGTAATTTTTTAAGTGTTTCATTTCGAAAGAAAAAAGAATTTACCATTTGCCTTATTACATTCTTTACCCAAGTTTCAATAAAGGTATTGTTTCTTCTAATTGGAGCTTTTTCGGATGTTAGATTTCTCCATTAACTGCATCATCTTTAAAAATGTTATACACTGTCCGTTTGGATACTCCAGTATGGGTCTCACATTTATAGTGGCTATTTCATTTACGGAAAGTGAAAGGAAGATTATTAAATGCATTAAGTACGATATATTTTTTTTCTAAAGATAATGTCCACTAGGTCGTTTACTCGTACTTGTGATTATAATATTTTCTAATGCACACGCTATTCTTATATAACTGTAAAATTATAATATATTGATACGAAATTAAATTATATACGATACGGCTATCAATAAATAAAGTTTGACTTATCTGTCAAAACAAAAGGTTTATTTCAGTAAAATCTATGGAAACATGATTAAATCTAAACGAAAACTTTTATTAGGCCGATCAATTGTATTAAAATTTTCATTTTAACTAGACATGAGGTATAAATAAAATGTCAATCTCCTGAACCTGTACTACATTCTGAAAATTAAATTACTGCACTCCTTTCTTCTTTATTCGCGATTCAAATTAATTTTCGCAGCCTGTCATTTGTCACCTATAAGTAGGATGTTTGTTTATTTATTTACATGTGTTTGTTTTGGGCGGATTTTGTATTTGTGATTTTTTTTAACTGTTTTTAGATAATATTCTCATTGTAATAGTGTTTTCGAGTTTCATTTAGTGTTAATTTAAGTTTATTTTTTGTTTTTTCTTCATAAATATAATATTTATCATGTGAATGATTTAATTTGTTGGAAATTTTCACATATTGGTTGCTACAAAAACATCTAAAAATATGTATTTACTAAACCCGGGACATGTTTTATTATGTGGTTTAAAGGACATTTCTGGTACCAAACGTTTATTATTGATGAACTTATTTAAAAATCTGACTATCCTTATTATTATATTAAGAAGTAAATTGTGCAGTACTTTGTATACATGTAAATGGTAATAAAACCGTCACAAATCAGATTACAGTTTGATTCTAAACAAAGTTTTGCAAAATTTCAATATTGTGAATTTGTAGATATCCATTTATCATAGGAAACAAAATTTTACGACTTGCACTTGGAAAATAATGAATACTTCAGTTTTGATTTTAACATTAACATCATATAGATTGCAATTTGCTGGGGACTTTTTCAAATATTTCATTTTTAATATAAATACTATCACATACTATAAGGAATAAACCAATTTAAAGCTAAAAAATAAGAAAAAACTCTAATTGTAATTGATACAAATTAAAATGTAAACAATGAACACGAACGCCAATGTTGCCAAATGATGAACTGATTTTATAACGAAATTAATAAATGAACTAAAAAATCTATATAATAAATCGGTTTTATAAAAAAATCCCTAAATAAATATAAAGTATGATTACATATTACTAGACACAAATTTTAATTCTTAAATAAAAGGTCTTATCCACTTCTTCAAGAGCTAAAATCCGGCGACATAGCGAAATTTTGCTACTTCTGGCAACACTGAACGATATCCTACTTATAGGGACCTTCTTAGGGATGTCCACTGACAAAATATATCGATGTTTTTTCCGATGTAATGCATCGTTACGTGACATCGATACATCGGGGAAAAACATCGATGTTTGCGATGCATCGAAAATATCAACATTTGAAACTCAAAACCTTTTTTTAGAGAAATGTAAAATGTTTTTCTAGATGTATATAGGTATACTAGTATTACACAAAAAATATTCGATGTTAGCGATTCATAGAATTGATTAAATAAAAAATAAAATTATAAAAAGTTTATTTTATACTAAATTTATATACAAAAAAGTTGAAACAAGATAAAAAGCTAAAACAAGATAAAAAGCTAAAACAAGACAAAAGAAATAAATCATAAATCCCAATATTTTTTTCCTAAACTCTGTAAAAACAGAATTTTACTCAGTCGTTTACCCTTTAATCTATTTCTTTGTTGATTTAAAGTCTGAGCTGCTTTCGAAAATAATCTTTCAGATGGTACCGAACTAGCGACCATTGTCAAATATTTATATGCAACAACATACAGTGAGCATCATAAGTCTTACCCCCCCTAACCAACTCGTTACTGAAGTCTTGTTAGGAAAATCGCCGAGACTGGTCGATTTTTGATTTTTACAATGCACATTTACGTGCAACCCTTTCGAAAAATTTAAATGGCAAGGGGTGGTGAGTGATAGCTCATTTGAAAGGGGGTTTTATTCTCTATTCAGCCGTGCAAAAATTTTTGAAATTTGCGTCATTACGTGTTGATTTATTAATGTTTAAAAATAACAAAACATCACAAAATAGGAAAGCAACTAAACTAACAGTGACCTTCTAATGGCAAAAAGTCTTACTTCACGTCTGAACCAAAACCGATATCATGCAAGGCCGAATTTTAATTCTAAGGATGAGTGCGCTATGTTAATTTCCGTTATTCTGAAACAATAATTAGTTGAGAATTAACGAAGCAAATTTCAAAATTTTTTACACGGTTGAATAGAGAATAAAACCCTCTTTCAAATGAGCTATCACTCACCACCCCATGCCATTTAAATTTTTCGAAAGGGTTGCTCCCCTCCAGTAAGGGACAAAATTAAGGGTAAACTATTCATATAAAAATGTACATTGTAGAAATCAAAAATCGACGTGTGTCGGCGATTTTCCTAACAAGACTCCAATAACGAGTTAGATAGGGGGGTAAGACTTATGGTGCTCACCATATAATTTAGGAAATTGTATTTTTAACTCATTTCAGATTTCCAGTGGATTTTCGCCTAGTCTACCAACTGAGCTTTTTAAGTACACTGCTATTTCATCCGAAAGGTTGTCATCTGATTTATTGTCCTTCCAGTTTTTATGGACCAATTTATGGTGGTCAGTCCAGAGACTGAAGCTGTCTTCTTGCTTGTCTGAGGTGTCTGAAGAATCAGATTCCATTGAATCTCCTTCTTGCTGCGTAATATTTTTAAACAACTCCTTAATTTTTTGTATTGCATTAGCACATGCAATTGCATCAGCAAAATGAAGTTTTTTAAAGCGTGGGTCCAACACTGTAGCTGTGGCTAATGGTGTAACAAGCTCAATAGCTCCCATTCTCTTAAAATAATATTTTGTACTTCTTTGGCAATAGGCTCCTCAATAAAAAGTGATTTAATTTTCGAAGTAATGCAGTGCATAATAGGTATAATTTTACTGCTGGTAGTGTATTTGTCAGACGAAATTTCCTTTGTGGCAGCTTCTAAAGACCGAAGCTCGGGAAGCACTGCAGACATGATACTTTGTTCCATACCACTGAGCATTGGTGGTGCAGATTTATGACGTATAACAATCTCATTTATTGGGCCACGTAGTTCCAAAAATCGGTCTATCATATAATACGTGCTGTTCCAGCGTGTGGACACATCTTGAATTAATTTTTTCTGATTTGTTGTAGCTTTTCTTAATTCATCACTGGCAACGCAACTTTGCTTGAACCAAGTTACGACAGATTTCATTTTGGTTACAATAGTTTGCAAAGCGTCGTACTATAATATAGACTGGGCAACCAAGTTTAAGGTGTGAGCGAAGCAGGGGATATGTTTCTTTTTTTCAAATGCTATGTCAATAGCCTTAACCATATTGGCAGCATTGTCCGTTACTACTGCAGAAACCTGATCATTTTTAATGCCCCACTCCTTACATATATTTAACAGCATTTCGGCTATATATTCAGAGGTGTGTCTCATATCCAGCTCATAAACTCCTAATGTTACTGAGTTAAATTCAATATTTGCTCCAAAATGTGCCGTAACTCCTAGGAAGCTACGCATTTGCATGGAGTCTGACCAAATGTCAGTTGTCAGTGTTATATATTGGACTTCTAATAACTTGTCTTTATACATTTTTGACAATACTTCATACTTATCATCAACCCATCTAGTTACAGTTTGTCTACTTGGAATTTTATATTGAGGTGCAATTACTTTAATAGTTTTTCGCTACCCTGCATGTATTGGATATTGGATCAGAAAAAAACAATAATAATGTAATGCAGTCCCATTTATTACCCTACCATTTCATAATAATATACATTCATTCGTTTCAAAGAAAATACCTTGTTGCGAGACTTTCGCTGGCTACCCCGTAGGTAATGGAAATTGTTATGTGAAAGAGCCTCTGCATTTCTTTTACCTGAAGCCTTATATACTCACACATAAATCCCCGGAATATTTTGTATTATAGTAGAATCGCAATCGACACGAAGTAATAAATCAAAATTGTATAGGAGTTTTACAGCACAGGCGGCTCAAACAAAATTTGTGATTTTAAACAGCTGGCAGTTATAAGGTGTGGTAATTTTAAGAATTTTACCTGTGCCGCCCGGTTCCCTCTTAAGACTCCGATGAGCGCACGTTTGGGTAAATTAGGGGGTATTTGTTTGTACTATTATTTTTTTGTTACTATTTTAAACTTAAATAATTGTAATTTGACCGCCGAGGTGCTTGTTTTAGGTGAGTCCCCTCGCCACTCACTTATTGAAAAATTTTTTTTAGTTGGCTAAGGCCAATTTTTTGTTTTTGTGTTTTGTTTTTGGTGGTAACATATAAAGAACTTGGTAAATTCAATATTTTCAACACTTTTTTTGAAATGCTTCGGTTTTGCTTGCGTTTTTGCAGTCTTGCACGCTTTTGAGCTGTTTTTGGTGGTTTAGTTTTTGGCAGCGTTATTTGGGTGGTCTCAACGCCACGCCGCCAGACCCTATTCCTTTTTTACTAATATGATTATAACATTTAGACAAAATAGATATGCTTACCTACTCTCGAAGATCAGGAAACGTGAAACTCTCTGAATCACTATATTCACTTGATGAGTCATTATTTACTGATATTATTAAAGGTGGTACTGAAGTATCAACTTCCAAGATTTTGTCCAGATTCCACATGTTTTCTTCTTCTTTTAACACATGCTCGATTGCATTTTGCCAATTTTCCTTCGTAACAAGTGATATGGAGGTTTCTAGCTTCTACATCTTTTAACTTAAATGTCATATTATGTCGACCTACATATCCTTTAACTTGTGCCCGTATAAGTTCAATAAGATTTAGTTTGCAGTGATAGGGAGGAAGACGCACAACATCAATACCATGTGTTTTTGCAAATATATCTACTACATAACGTACTGCCTTATTTAATTTCACAAATTCTAGTAATTCTATTTTTAACGATTTTTCTGGAAAGTTAATGTTTCTGTCTGTTAGCCACTTAATAATATCATTTTTCTTATATGAAGTATTTGGCACACGTCCAATTAGACGGGAATGGTAACAAGCGTTATCCATTACTATATGAACCCTTTTGTAAATGTTCTATCATCTGAGGAAAATATTCTTCAAAAACATCAGCGTTCTTCATGGTAGTCTCCGGTTTTTTAGATTGAAATATTAAAGAATCACGTTTTGAAAACTAGACGTCGTCCTGTTGATAATCCTTCCAAAAAAGCCTGTCGTGAAAATTGAATGTTTGTGTCCTGTATAAGTAACTGTATAATCTTCATTTACCCAGGTTTCGTCCAAATAAAATATTTTTTTGCCTTCTCCACGTAATTTTAAAATGGTTCTGAGGTATTTTCGTCTCCAACAAACAATTTCATCAGAATCAATAAGTGCTGCTTCTGTTCTGTTTTATCCCACTTGAACTTCAAATCTATTAGAGTTTCCCGTAGTTTTGTCTTTCCCATTTTAAGAAAATATAGATCACTATTATCATTATTATAAGTGTTGGTATCTCTTTTTTAAAATAAAATTCGTGAACTTTTCTTCTTATTCCGCTTTTAATTTTTTCAGTAAATTCCACTTTTTTCTTACCTCCTGCATTTTTCTTTGGGGGTTTAACAACTTCACTTTCTAATTCACTTATAGCTTTATATATCGTTGATCACTTACATTTTGGTTTTTTCATGGCATTAGTAATCTCCAAGAAGATGATAAAATAACGATTAATCCTTAGATTATAGATTTCTATAATCTAAGGATTTATCCCATTTACATTTTTAATACAATTATAACAAATTTATAGATTTTGAACCCTTAGATTACTTTCTATAATCTAAGCTGAAACCTTTCTCTCAACTTGTCATTAACTTTCACCTTGACATCAAACATTTCCAAGAAGTCAATGATATTTAAAATATTTAAACAATTTAATGTATATCTAAAAGTCAAATTTATAGGTCTTGGAAAAATATTTGTTATAAACCTTGTTGATAATTTACACAAATAGATAACTCTACCATTTACATAACAATTGCAAATAACTCGAAAAACATTTTGTAAAGTACCTACATACCGAAATATTATTCAATAATAAATATTCAAAAAAATATATTTTTAAATGATGAGTTTATGTACCCCGTAAATAATAATATAGGCACCCACACCTGAACTTTCCTGATCTGACAGATTTATTATTCCGTGTCGATTGCGATTCTATAAGAAAATATTCTTCACAAAATAACATTGGTTTTATTCTTATACCTTTTATGACGTAAATATTGGCACCTTTTTTCAAAAACGCTTATCTGAAAGTAACTAAGCCCCCAAATATTTTTCTAACGACTATTTTCTGGGTGTTATATTATTTAGTAAGGAAAAATTTGACGAAAAAATTGTATTTATAAGTTATGACGTTATTTTTTGTCTTTTTTTTAATCTCTTTTCCGGAAAGAAAGTCCCAAAATATTTTGTCTTGCGACACTCCTTTTTTAGGCCTTTGTTGTCATAACTTATGACGTAAATTTTGGTATTTTTTAAAATTTGGCAATTTATTGAGATGCAAGACAAAAAACTTTTTATATGGTAAAATAGACTGCAATAATAAAGGATGTCAGAAACCAGAAATATCAAAGTGAAATTATAAACTTCTAAGTACAAAATAAATAAACAAACATGTTTCAAACTTCTGTTTTTAAGTGGATGGAAATACGGGTTGTTTATAAGCATTTTGTTAAAAAAATATTATTACTAAAGTGTTATGAACTCAGGATCTCTTTAATAAACTTGAGAGAATGGTATATAATTTTCAAAGTGGAAGCTATGCGCTATGATAAGGATGTGACCTAATTAGAATGTTTAAGTGGTTGTGATATATATTTTAAATATATGAGAGTTGAGTTCACCGAAGATCTTACACGCCTTTAGCCAGGTGATTTAAAAATAAAAAAAACTTATTTTATCAAAAAAAAAAAAAAAAATTGAATACTATATGAAGATTGCTTCATATTCTATACTTTGGGTCGTATTTTCACGAAAATAATACGTTCCCTTTCATGTACGGATATATTCTGGTATTTAAAGTAAAATATTCCTAAAACATTTATTTTATATTTTTTATTGTTCCAGAAAAATGACTACCAAAAGTATAATTTCGCTTCACGATATTTACCACTTCGACATAGCTGACTATGCAGTATTTTCTTCTATGTTACTACTGTCAGCTCTTACTGGGCTCTATTTTGGATGCAGGGGCAGATACTGCAAAAGTGAAGCCAGCCAGACACTCAGCGAATATTTAACGGGAAATAAAAATTTGAAGCCCTTTCCTGTGGCTCTATCTCTAATAGCAAGGTAAGATTCAGTTTATAAGATACATTAATTTATTCATTTCTTTAAATCTGTTATAAAAAGTTAGTAATTAGTTGGTCGAAATTTTTCACTGTTTTTTATTTGTATACATTAAATTTGTTTTTCTACAAACGTCAGTAAAAGTATAATTTTTAACGTCTAAAATGCCATTTTATGACACTGGCACAGTTTATTGCTAAAGAATCAGTTAGCTCACTCGGACCAGTTGGATGTTCCAAAATAACATCCACTCCAGGGATACAAATTCAGGATGCGCAGAAGACTGCTGTTTGATAGGTCTTTTCATCACATTTTTTTTGTGCGCATGCGTCAGTATCAGCCATCTTTTTCGTACTGTTTTTTGTAAACAAGCATGTTAAAATGTCCATGTGAAAAAAATTATAATCGATCAATAATAATTTTAAGTATTCCTTTAAAAAATGGGAAATCAATTTTTGCTGTCAATTATTTATGTTATCTTTACGGAAAGGAAAAACTAAACGGTATTGTTATGGGTATGTAAAAGTGACACACGGTATAAATTATTATTTTATAAAAAGACTTGCCTGCAATATTCTAAAAAAAAAATCATTAGGCAAAATACATATTAAAACATGTTCAAAATGAGCATTTATGAGTGAAAAAATGTGGTCGAAGTGACAAAGGTTTTCGATCGATTGATGGATGATGATACTAAAGATACTTATATTTGTTCACTACATTTTCATGTAGAAAGTGGTTTAACAGAAGAAAATCCTTGTCTGGTATTACACAATATTTTTTAATATTAAATACTACTTTGGTATACACAGTAATATTATTAAAAATGTCATGTTGATCCTTAAAATTTTAAATAATTTATCTTATTAATTAGACTCGTGATTAACTTTCATGTTAAAGTGTTTTTGCAATTATTAATAGTTGGTTGGCATAATTAATTGGAATAGAGTTATAATTATTATTTGTTTTCATTAATTTTTTACACAGTTAATATGTATTGAAACCTAACCTCTCAATCACCACACTTTTTTCAAAATTGTCAGAGCAACCTCCTTGATGTAAATATCAAGGGGAGTGAGACTAAGAATGACTTCCATGGCTCTAATCGGTGTAATTTTATGGCTCCTGTTATGTTGAGACATGCTGTTCTTTGAATTTGTTCTAGTTTACGGATAGCTATTAATTTTTGGGTTTTCGGTACCCAGACAACTGCACCGTATATTAGCATAGGTCTTATGATAGCCGTGTAAGTCCATGCGACGACTCTAGGGGAGAAACCCCAG